GAATTACTTTAGAAAGCAAAAATAATTCTAAAGTTTTATTTTATGTATTATAAACATATATCACAATTGACACTCCTTAAATTTTAAAATTATGCATTATTAGTGGGCATTTTTATTTTTTTTAGGGGGCACAAATCGACTTAAAATAAAGAAATTTAAACTAAAAATCAATTTTTTTTTTTAGGGGGGACCGCACCACCTACCCTATTAGGGTGGCTTAGATACGCCCTTGTCTAGAGAGGTAATTGAAAAGTTTATAGTAGAATGGAGGTAAGTGATGGTTTCTGTTTAGTACAAGGTGATGTAAGTGAAATTAACACTTTTAAATAACACGTAGGATATATTCAACTTATAAATCGACTAGAGAAAAAACAAATCAAATTTCATAATACAGAAAAATATTATTTTTAGAGATAAATTGCATTTTCCTCCAATTCTTTTTTTTTTTTTTTTTTTTTTTTTTTTGCGCTTTGCTATGTGAACAAAAAAAAAATTACACGATTGCATGTGAACCCATTTTTTTTTTTGCCACTTTACCATATTTAACTTATCTTCATATCAGGATGACCAAAATTCCACACACGCCCGTTGTACATGACAATTGTAAGTGCATTTTCATAAAATTGAGCCCTAATTAGTACCAACGTTCCCTCCACTTATCTCTTATTTCCTTAATTATATTCCGAAAGAAAAAAAAAGGCCGTCTATATCTATCGTTATAATTAGCTCTATTCAATGTCTTACCAACATTTGCGTGATCTCCTCGGAAGAGGTGGATCATTAACAAAAATCCAAAAAAAGGAAAGTTCAACTGAAAAAGATGATAACAAGAGTACTGAGAATTTGTTCGACCAACTGTTGCATCAAGAAATAAAAATTCATTCCAAATGCAAAAATAGAGGTGACCCCATTTTCACACACACAAAGAAAAAGGGTAAAAATCGAAGAAATTTGAGAACCCATTTCCAGTTTTCATCAAAAGACGACCAATAATAGAAAGGGCGCCGTGAAATGAGAAGACAAACAGTTAGTGGAGATGTGAGAAATATTCAGACCGTTCAACATAAGCAAAAAATACTGAAGAAGGAAGAAGGACCCAGAAGCAAAGAAGAATAATGGAAGGAAAGAAGAAAATAGGGAAATAACGAATAAGAGAGAAATGAATTGAAGGAAAAAAAAATTGCTACTAATTAAGGCTCAATTTCATAATTGGCATTTGCAAACCGCGTGCATCAAATTCAGGTCATTTTGGCCTAAAACTAAACCAGAGTTTGTAACGTGGTGCAAATAGTTGAGTTCAAGTTGAATTTCAAGTTTTTCGTTTGGGTGGCAATTTGAAAAAAAATAGGCGGTAGAATTAATCACTTACGAGTTACGATTTGAAAAATCTTACAATTACCCCCCTCACATTTGCGGGGAGTAGTTAAAGTTTTCATAATCTAAGAGCATCTCCAATGCTACACCCAATCTCTACTACTTAGAGTGCCACATATGATATTTTGAGATTTTTGTTAAAATATCATCTCCAATGCAAATTTTAAGAAAAATCTCTAAATGATTTGGCAATAAGGTGACACTTGTGATTTTAGAGATTCTTAAGATGAGACTCTGAAATTGAAATGTCACCTTGAGGATCTTCAAAGTGCCAACTCATCATTTATTACCATTTTTGTGTTACTTTCTATTAACAAAATTAAGATAGTTAAATTATATATCTTCTAAATGGATTTCACCATAGCTCTACTCTTTTTCCACTCTCTTCTACATTATTTTATTGGAGTTATATGTTTTTGTGAAAATTCGACTTTTAGGTTATAAAAATACTAATTATTACTTAATTTGTTTTGAAGATTATTTTCTCAAACTTTAATCAATTGAAAATTCATGAGATTCCTCCGACCTAAAACAAATGAACCATGCGCGTAATCTATAAAAGTTGCTAGTTTGTATACAATATATGTTCATGGCTTAACGAAATGGAAATATGTCGATTTAAAATTTGTTCATTAAAATATTTAACTAATGAATGTTCACAAAAGCCCTATCTATTTCATTTTCTCTCTTTTGAAATAAATCTAAATAAACCCTACTAGTATATATTATATTAGGAATGAAGACATGAATGAATTTTTTTCTCTTTTTGGTGGAATAAGTTTTCTTTATGTAATAAATTAATAGTTTTAATTTTAATTTTAAAACCCAATAACAAATTACACTTTGAAAATATTTAAAGTGTTGAGTGTTGCATTGAAGAAGATTTTGGTGTAAAGAATCACAATCTTACCAAGTAGGATAGAGAAAATTTTAAGATTGCCGTTTGATACTTGACACTTAGGATTTTTAGAATTATTTTTAGTATAACTAAGATTAAAATGTTGGACGACGCTCTAACGGGGAGGGCCATTGGTAATTCTGGTAATTGAACATAGTTTCCGAAATAATAATTACACAAACGAAAAAAATTCAGAACCTGTCAATATCATGATTTGTTTGTAATGTAGAATTTTTTTTTGTTATCGTACGCATCATCTGACCGTGTCGCCTTTGCCTGTCGCCAAACGCCAAACAGTCTCTCTTAAATTGTAATTAATCACCTATTTAAATCCATCTAATTAGCATTAACAATTACTAATTAGCTCCTGTAATCCCAAGTATTCTCTCCTTTATTCCCACGTACAAAACACACACACACACTCTTCCTCTTCTGAACGTTAATTCCCTCTATTAATTAATTAATTAATTAATTAACTGATTATTTGCTTTCTCCTTCAACAATGGCCGGACTACGTTATCTCTTTCTTACCCTTTTCTTTTCAGGCCTTATTCTCTCATTATCCGACCTAGTTTTCTCGGCGACGTTTACGTTTGTAAACCAATGCAACCACACTGTTTGGCCGGGGTTATTATCCGGCGCCGGCACACCGCCGCTGTCCACCACTGGGTTCGCCCTCAGCTCCGGCGACTCAGTCCCGGTCTCCGTCCCCGCCTCTTGGTCGGGCAGAATGTGGGGCCGGACTCTCTGTTCTCAAGACCCCACCACCGGGATATTCGCCTGCGCGACCGGCGACTGCGGCTCCGGCGCCGTGGAGTGCTCCGGCGGCGGGGCGGTGCCGCCGGCGACTCTGGCGGAGTTCACCCTGAACGGCGCTGGTGGGCTCGACTTCTATGACGTCAGCCTCGTCGACGGCTACAATCTGCCGTTGTTGGTTGTTCCGGTGGTGCTTGGCGGCGGCGGCGGGGGGAGTAATTGTTCGAGCACGGGGTGTGTGGTCGACCTCAACGGGGCATGCCCTTCGGAGCTGAAGGTGGTGGTGGACGCCGCCGTGGGAACGAGCGGCGGCGGAGGAGGAGGAGGAGTGGTGGCCTGCAAGAGCGCGTGCGAGGCGTTTGGGGATCCGAAGTACTGTTGCAGCGGCGAGTACGCGACGCCGGATACTTGCAAGCCGAGTGAGTACTCGGAGTTCTTTAAGAGCGCGTGCCCACGCGCGTACAGTTACGCTTACGACGATGGAACCAGTACATTCACCTGTGCCTCCGCGGACTATGTCCTCACTTTCTGCCCTATTCCTTCTGCCAGGTAATAATCTTTTTTTTTTTTTTTTTTTTTTTTTATATATATTTTTATTTCTTCAATATAAAATTATTAAGTAATAGTCAACGTAAGCATTTGGTAGAAAACAAATAAAATAAGTATTGAGCATGCATAATGCCCAATATTCTATTTAAAATATATAATTTTTTCAAAAACATATAATAAATAGAAGTGTGCAATATGAAAATTATATTTTATATTAGTTGATAAGCGTACCAATTCTTTAATCATATAATAAAAATATATAAGATATCATAACAAAATAAACTTGGTGTCGGCAGTCAATATTTGTATATATTATTAATTATCGTGTCAAAATAAATTTCAGTTAGATAATAATACAAAATGAATCATATAAAACATTACAACACAAACGAGTTTCTTTTTAATGGTCAAATTAAATACATTAATGGTGTTGAATACATTAAACCCTCTAGGAGTTAGTAACTTCATGGTTTTAGTAAAAATAAAAGAAGAACAAATAATTCTCCTCCCTTTATTCCTAAATACGTTTCTGTTATTCACATTTGCGCGGATTTTAAGAATCTCAATAAATATGTTTTGGTTTGAGGAAGATAGATATTGATGACCAAAATACCCTTAATTATTAGTTAATGTACAAACAGAGTTGGGAAGTTAATAAGCGTATAATTGAAAAAAAATGTAACTAAAGCAGGATTAAAATTGTAAAGTAATATATAATATGAATCAAAAGAAATTCTCAAAAGAGATGAATATTATGTAACAATGGAGTAATAATCATAACAAATATATGAGTTTTGAAGTGTAAAGGGTATTTGTGTGTGGAGTTGGAAACATAGGCACATGGATTGGAATTTGGATCATATATATAACCAAAAGTGAAACACTTTTTTTTTTAATCAATGGTGGATGAATATTAGCAATTTTTATATATAAAAGAAAGAAACATTGAGTAATCTTAAACAACCCTAATTACATTTTGGTAAGGGGGCATGCTAAATCCTACACTAACATTTACTAAATCCCACACATAAATAAAAAAAAAATCTCTCTCTACTCATATTTTTTCTAAATTCTCTATAGGGTAATTTTATAAATGCTACCCAAAATTTATTAATTTTTTTTTAAGGTGAATAATCATAAAAAATGAGGTCAATTTTATTTAATATTTATTTAACATCATTAAGACTTTTTAATTATTCAAATTCAATT